AACTCGAAGTACGCACTTCGTGCTTGACGTTTGCGCGTTTTTCAAGCTCTTAACAATTCGTGTTTGTAAGACGAGCGATGTCTTCAGCCACGAGAAGGGACGATGACTCGGCGACATTTTCGTGCGAATCGGCTTGGTGATCGGGCGTGTCATACGGGATGAATCCTACTTGTTTTGACCGGTCCAAAGTTTCTCTTTCGAAGAAAGACAGATTCGCTGGTACCGCGAACGACAGTTCTGAAGTCGTCCGCTGCCATCGCCGTCCAGCCCACGAGTCCCGCGATACGCGCGATACGACGCCATGTTGAGAATTACGCAGTGACGTTTTTCTTTTTTTTTTTCAATTAACGTATTTGCAGTTTTTTAGAAGCCACAAAAATTGGGTTTTATATTTGTTTCTGTTTTAATATTCGAAGTATGCCTTCAATAACCCACGACTTTGACTGAATTTGAGGTTGTGTCTCAATCTTAGAAAACGGCCCGTGACCACGGAGAAGAGAGTGAGTGCGACTCAAACCGGCCAATTGTCGATCGGCGATTTTCGGGCGGAAAGAAACCGAATTTCGAGCCGCAAATTCTGTTCTGGGTAGTGGGGCGCTCATATGTCATGTACAACTATGGTGTCTGGAACGTGTCTCCGACTGGTGTGTTTACCGCGACCAAAAAAGTGGTCCCTCAATTTCCGCCTGATGACGTCATAAAAGTGTCATGCTGTCGCCAGTCGCGATCCTGGCGGCGTCTCAACAGTTTTGGGCAGACGGCTGTTCTGCTGCAGGTCGCTCTCCACTGTGACAGTCCACGGAAACTACAGCAGCCGGAAGTTGGGACGTATTGGGATGCCGTGACCACAGCGACACTCGCGTTCGCTCGTGCTTTTCGCCAGCATTTCTACAGCCAACCGCCAGGATCACGACAGGCAACAGCAGGACACTCCGGCTTCTGTGACGTCATTTGTTGCCACTTCGGAACCACTTTTGATGAATGGGCGGCATAGGACGCTAAACACACCAGTCGGAGACGCGATTCAGGCACCATAGTACAACTAAAAACCTCGGCGAGGATAAATAGTAAGACCATGTCAGTGTCCCTTTAAAGACATCGCAGCCGCACTTGCCATGGCCCGTGCAAGGTACATAGGTCCTTGGACAACATTCGATGTTTTCTGTCGTTATTTTGTGCATCCTATAACCGAGCAATGGTGTCCCGATGATCGGGGGACTGTCGCCATCCAAGCCCGTGGGTCGAATTAAGTTTTGGACTTTAAAACAGAGGAGAAAGCACGAAGGAAGTTCGGGCAATGCATACACCCAACACCGGCGAATCCTCTCATCCGGGATTTTCACTCTTTCTAACGCACCAGAAGGGGGAAACCGCCGGTAGCCCTTTTCCATCTTCTCTCTCGCTCTCAAAAGGAGCTACCCCCATAAAACTGTCTATTCGCGACTCCAGCGAACTATAGGCGTGCGCGCTGGTCAGGCAAAATGGTGCACAAAAGGAGGTCGTTTTCGTCGTTCAGACCGCGGACCAGCATAAATTTCTTGCACTGTAGCGTAGAACCGGTGTTACATATGAAAGCAAAGCGATTTTAAGACGGTAGAAACCTTCTATTAAGTGCGTAGGAATGGCACAGCGGAAGCGTAAAAATAATTACTGGAAACTATGTTTGTTTTTGTGCTGCCTACGAGAACCAAGCAGCGATAGCAGACGACAGATGTCGAAATGACCTCATCTCTTGAGCTTCTCTGCGTTTCCGCTACGAGGCGACGATTTTGCGGAGAGAACAGCGAGGGGGAAAAGACAGTACGTAGGAATGACACAGCGGAAGCGTAAAAATAATTACTTGAAACTATGTTTGTTTCTGATCTGCCTACGAGAACCAATCAGATGTCGAAATGACCTCCTCTCATGAGCTTCTCTGCGTTGCCGCTACGCGGCGACGATTTTGCAGAGAGAACAGCGGTAGGGAAAAGACAAAGGAAAAAAAAAAAACAAAAAAACACGCCAAGGTCGACGAGATTCGCCGCAGAGCGCGCCAACTTCTCGCGCTGGCGGCGACGCTGGCGTGAGACGCCCGCCCCCAAGCGGCGGCACCGTGTGGGTGCACTAGAGATGACTCCAAGTGGTCATGCCAGTCCGGGTAATGCGTGACGGGGGGCGGGGTCAACCTGGAGTCGACAGATGTTCGACAACCGGAGCGGCGACGAAAGCGGACACGCGTCACGGCGGGCGAGGATGCGCGTGACGTTTGCAAACATGGGTTCCCGACTGGTGCTCCATACGTGAGCACGTGGAGCAGGCGCCTGAAGGTAGCTTTGGCAGGCTTGCACTTGCACGTGCTTGTTCGCAAGAGCAAGAACATGGTGGCGTCCCTGGATTAGTGCCGTTACTGGCACTAAAATGGATTAGTATTACAAATGACGCAGTATTAAATGCGATGGATTAGTACCGTTACTAATCACTCGCGTAAAAAGAGTAGTCGATTGCTTTACTCATTACGTTGCGAGTTACTTTCACGTTACTTCGCTCGGATACTTCCCGAAGAAATGAATGCTCAAAAAATTTGACGTCTTCCCAAATTGTATTGCATTGCCACTCTCTTTTGGCTTTGCAAAAATAACAAAAATATGAATGCGATATATCGGACCTTGTTAGGCGGTGGCAAGGACAAAAATGCAGTACAATCTCTATTTCTAGTCTCCAACTCGTGCTTTGGTGATCGCGATACTGCAAAATATTATCGAAGCTAAAATGTAATCCGTTTCAGATTGAGGCCAGACGCAACCGACGCTACGACCTGATACACCAATCAGACGGCGTCAAAGTGCACAATTATGGCGTTTGTGATGTTGGTGTACGTGTTCTATCATCGTTAAACTAATCATAAGCAGAAAAGGTTCAGTGACTCTCGCTTTTCACGCTGCCTGATCGGTCCCACTAGCTCGTAGCGTCGGTTGCGCCTGGATTAAAGCTGAAACCAAGTGTAGCAACTACCTTAGAGATTAATACGGAGAACTCCAGATTGAAATGGCCGACGGAAGTACAAAGTGATCCTTGCGGCAGGAAGTCGACCACTTACCATTTTTGCCGGAAATGTCGCGAGTGGGTATAACTTAGTAGAAATAATGATGATCCTTTGAATTTTTTTCATTCGATGGATGACGTCCTGAGGTCTTGGTCTTTTGAAGTCTAAATTCAGTGTGCCGTTACACGAGTCAGGATTCGTCTAGCGATTTAATACAATTCAAACAATTATTCTTTTTTTTTTAATGTGTTGATTCATTAGTTTTTTTTTTGTTTTTTTTTTTTTTAGAATATTATTATTGCGGCTATTAAATCAATGAGCTTCCTCATTGACTTAACAGCAACTCATCCGGTTAGGAAGAGAGGTAGTAACTTGTATTGATATTTGACAATGATGTAATACTTGTACTTGTAGACTATATTGGCAATAAATTGATTATAAATGACTATTTCCATCTATTATTGAGTGGCTTCAACCAGCCATGAATGTCTATTGTTAACATTTGTTTGCTCTCTGTGTGCTTAAAGATGCGATTGGCGTCATGTGGTTACTTCTTAATATGAAATCTATTATAGACCCCATTGGGCATTAAATGGCTAGGAATAGCTATATAGTGAATGATAGTCAATTCGCCAGATCCGGGTATCGAACCCGGGACCTCTCAAAACCCGTTTGCTCTACTGACGTCTAACCCCTGGTTAGCTCAGTTGGTAGAGCGCTCCACCTGTAATGGAGAGGTCCCGGGTTCGATACCCGGACCAGGCGGATTTTTTCGGTCGCTCACCAGTCACCTAGCTGTGTTTGGAGATTTATGTTTGCCCTTTGTCCCTCTTATTCCCCTTCTCCAGGGATTATTCTCGTCATTTTTGTCCAGCTCGCTCGCACCTTTGCATCTAATTGCATTATGATGAAAACGTAACAGTTTGTGTAAACAGTAAAAGAGCGGAAGGGCAAACAAAGCTCCGCAGAAATCTGCGCTCTCACCTTCCTCCCTTCGACGATAGTTAGGTGGAGTCTCGCGAGCTCAATACCAAAGCACGATGCGCAAACTCGACCCAGAACTCCTACTGTATTCGTGGTCGTGCCACCAGAGCCTTCGTACTTCACATCTAGACGTGGCAACATGTGAGATAGTGAAAGGAGTAGAAATGGGTCATTTCTGGAGCCATCCTATTTTTATATACGTATTCATGTCTTCAGAAGTATCCAGCAACGTGAAAAAATGGAACTTGTAACGTTACGAGCAAAACAATAAACAACTTTTTTTTTTTCACGTAAGTAATTAGTAGCGGTAATTCCTTACATTTAAGACTGTGTTTCTGTGTCTTTCTAATATATATATGTATATATATATATATATATATATATTAGTAACGCTGGCGTTAGTTTTGCGGCGACGGGTATTTTCTCCCGGAGTGGCGCGCGCGTCCCCTTTCCACGCCGCACCTTCCCCGACTCAAGGTCGATTCCGCGTCGTCGCACAGCACCACCTCTAGTTCACTCTAGCACCACCCTGAAAAGGGGTCCGGCGCGGTTTCCCCCGTTCAGCGTCATCGCTGGTCGGTCCACGCAGCGCCGTCTACCTAGCGTCGGCGTCACCGCTAGCACATCTCGCAGGTTCTCACAACGTGTGTGACCTTAGCACGCGGCGACGCCCTCGAGTTTCGGCGGGTTTGCCGCATGGGGGCGGATAAGGAGAAGTCACTAAAGACGCTAAAGACGCTAAAGATGATGTCACGGGCAGTTCTTGTCTTCAAGGTGGAACGGGCGTCACGTCCGTTCATGGATTGCGCCGCGGAAATGCAAAGAGAGACTCTCGCCGGCCGTGGCGCGCATAATTTCCTCGGTTGTTTTCCCCCCGTAGCCGCGTTCTCTCCGCCAAGCCGCCACACAGGTCGCCCGTAATTCGCGTCCGTCATCGGTGTTGTTTTCCGGAAATTCCGCGTACCGAGTCGGCGTGCAGTTCCAAACTCGCGTCATGCCCTACCTCCTGGTTTGGAGCCATGTCCGTGGTCAGGTCAGTTTTGCGCCGAACGTGTGCCATTAAATTTTGTTCGGATTTGTCGGATCGCGTGACGAACAGTTGAGACACTAAGCGGAATATGGCATTTCGTTGCAAGTTCCATCATGCCGCATTGTGTTTCGTGTTGCTTGTACCTGGTTATTGTTGTTTTGTTTTGTTTTTTCCGGTAACAAATAAAAAATAGGGAACAAGTAACTTATTTTCGTTAGTTTTGTGTTAGAGTAACGAGCAACGTTATTAGATTGCCTTAATTACTGGACTGATCATAGACGCTGTGGTTGCATGAGCAGTACCCCCCGCTCTCTCCCACGGCCCGCCTCCCGTTGATCGGCCGGCCGCACGATTGTTTTGCTGACTGCAGTGTAGTCTACGGAATATGTACGTTTCGAAGTACAGCGTCTAGATGGCGTTCCACCGGACTAACACACAGTAGCTGCGTTCGATTTATTTACACATCCAGTGCGTTGACAGCGTTATACTGACATTTAATGCTGTCATTGTGAACGTTTTTAGCTTCCAACGTACCTTGACGGGAGCCAGGACCCAGCTTTGTTGAAGCAGCTTGGCGCAAAAGTTACCAAGCCCCTAATGGTGAAGCGGTAAGTGCATTATCTCAAATCACCAATTTCTTCGACGCATGTGTAGTGACGAATAGTAATAATAATAATAATAATAATCTTTATTAAGAATACCCAGGAACAACCATAATTCAATATTTCATTCATTTGTTTATTTTCTATACTCATGAACAACCGGTACGTTGTAAAAATATAATGAATTAAAAGCACCAATATCCGCTGCACCAAGGGTTGTATGTGGGTCATGGGGCCAATGGAGATGATTTAGTAAAAGGAGCTCGAAACTCGCCTTGGAACGTTACAATTGAAATGGGACGGCAATGGATTAGTCCACAAAGGCATTTATACAAAAATACTCAATTTCCGCAACGTCTTCTCGGATAGCATCTTTAGATTCCTGCACCTCCACAAGAACACTATAAGAAAGAAACTGTAAGTGAGAAACCAATGACTGATAAATCGGGTGTCATGGGAATGGTCTAGTTTTGAGCCTCGCAGCATGAAAACATTCTTGATCGAAATTAAGGCTCCGTCACCTGTACACCACCTATTTGCTGCGTTTTGCCGAATGAGGTAGAAGAGAACCAAGCCGTGTGGTAGCGACGCCGTAGCGTTTGTTAATGGACGAAAGCTAACCATTTTTCCATGTTTGAACTCGCAAGAAATCGGTTGTCTGACTTGTAGTAAGTCGGATTATTGCACATTTTGCAGCAGGCTCGAGCACCTATGTAATCAGAGTTTGGGGCTCTTTCGTGCCTGTATGCATTTAAGGATTGTATTAGATTTGAATTTGCACGTGTGTGTGTGTGTGTGTGTGTGTGTGGGGGGGGGGGGGGGTAAAGCTTTTGAAATAAAGCGATATTTTCAGGATAGCGTTATCGGCCGTGGCGGACGTCAGGACACGAGTGTGATGATCTCATTATTGTAGTATTTGAATTTTTTCGTTAAAATAATCTACAGTAGCACATGACGCCACCAACCACCGTTGGCGTCCAAATCCAAACCTCCAAATCGTTGAGCCCCTGGTTGTTGAGCGTTGGTAAAGTGAGTACGGCTCGAGGTACCCTTGTCAGACGTGTCTTCCTTCCGGGGCTCCACCGGTCACCGCCTCATCGGCATGTGAGATCCATCGTCATTTCCGCAGGCCCACGTAGACTCTGCGCATCTTCTATTTTGTGGTTTTTTTTCCTTTTTTTTCTGGTTACAACAATTACATAACTAGTATTTATATAGGACACATGACTAAAATGATTTTTTTCTAAATATAAATCGCCGTAACTGCCACGTTTTAATTGACTATTTCGTAGCCCGTCATCAAAATAAGGCGAGATACAGTTCTTGCAATTAAAAAAAAATAAAAGCCGTTTACAATTCCCTGTAACGCCGGTTAGAGCGCAGCTCTTGAGGTGGGGGATGGGAGAGTACTGAGAGATCAGGTGACTCCTTGAGGTCACGTGACCTCAGGGGGGGTCGTGTGACGTCAGGGGGTCACGTGACCTCGGGGGAAGGGGTCATGTGACCTCAGGGGGGTCACGTGACCTCAGGGAGCCACGCGGTGTCAGAGGGGTCACGTGACCTCACGGTTACGCCGACGGCGACGGCGACGCCGGTAAGGCCGAAAACGGGCGCCTAAGAGCTGCGCTCTAAAAAAATGTATTCGCGCGTATACAAAACGAAGTATTTGCTTCTTTTCTTCCCTTACTTTTTTTGGCGAACGTGTGCAATACTACCAGGAATCGATGAGCGAACATCTCATGACATGTTCCTGCGGTGAAATGCGACGCGTTGTCATGAGGACCTGGAACACTAAATAAAATAAAGAACTGAAAGAACCTTGAGTGAGAAAGTTACGTCATAATTTTCGTCACGCGTCAGATGATGCTGGCTCCTACATTCCTCAACCTGCCTGGGACAAACCCAGCTTTAATTTTGTTGTCATGGTTCCTTTTAACACGCAGTGTGTTCTTTTTTTTTTTTTTTTTTTTTAATTGCGAGATAAATGTTTCCGCGTAACCTGTTCGTCAACTTAAGTGACTCGCATCCTCACAGTTCTACCGCAGCTTGAATTGAACCGTCTTTCCTTAATCGTTATTCCAGATTTGTTTCGCAATACGGGAAAAAAGTTCGATTTCAATACAGGTCAAATGTTTATTTATTTCGCTTTGGAATGTAATAACTTGTAAAGCCCACAGAATCCAATAAGGTTTGTGAGTAGAATGCGGCAGCCGTCACTGTTTTCTTTTTTTTTATAAAGTAAATAACAATATTCAGATAAGAAACACCTGCATCAGTTTACACGTCCTGAATAGTTAAAGTAACTAAAGTCAGGTATATAACAAAACCGCTTACCACTAAATTTCAAAGACAAAAATAGCAGTTTCAGTCAGGTTTGTAGTTTGCCTCACGCAAATATACATTCAGGCAAGGATTTAACCATCCCAGCCCTAAAGTGTCTCGTAACCTATTGGCTTATTTTTAAGCTCTGCTCTCGTCGGGATGTTAAGCGCTAGGTCAATTCAATGACTCCTTCACATATGATTGAGTCTTGCACGAGATGGTGCCTCTCGTACAAAAGAAGCGGTCCACTTCTACGACATTCACGAGTGAAAATCGAGCCCCTTAAACGTGGGCGCTATTATTTATTTGCCCGGGTGCACTTGACGGAAATCGTGCCACTGCTATGCTAATTCCTCCAACGTTGTTTTTTGAAGGGATATTCACACGGGGGATGCTTTTCCGGGAGGAATATGCGTCACGTGACGTCAGTGATCGGCGGAACCTGAGGGGCTCTTTCCTTGACTCCAGCATTCACACGAACTGCGGGGAGCCCAAAGGGGTGCCAGCGTTATCAGACGCATTTACCGGTCTCACACTCAACAACAGAGCATGGTACACACTGACGAGACTAGAAAATGGTGGAGTAGATGAATCGGCGATACACGATTATGGCAGCAGCGCTGTTAGATGCAGGAGGCGACGAGCTGTTTCCGGCTAAAAGAAATAAACTTCGTGAACGGGTGGGTGCAACACAAAATACGTGGAAGAAGTTGTATGAGGAGCGGCTTGAGGACGGCATTGATGACTATCGAAGACTCCGTCGGGTGCCTCGGACGACGTGCGCAACAGCGCAAGCCTCAACAAGTTAGGCGATCCCAATGCCACCGCCAGTATCTCGCTGGGTAGAATCTGTAATGTTGCCGAACACGCGAAAAGAATACCATGAATAGCAAAGAACCCCACCCCAAGGCGCGGTGGGGTGTGTTTGTGCAGCCGTGCAGCCCGAGCAAAAGCTCGCTCCTGCTCCATGGGATGTCTACGTCAGCGAGGCTCCGCGCAAACGCGTGACGTTGTTACCACTTGGTGCGCATCCCGGGAATCAGAGAAGCATCAAGGAACTCTTTTCAAAACCCCATCAAGCAACATTGGCGGTCGCCATTTCTTGGGTACATAGAGCACACGTGATTTGATCTACCGAACGGACTCGTTCTCAGCGCGAACTGAGCCGAGTCCACGCCGAACGCAGGCGGAGTTCTCGTATCCAATAGAATGCGTGCCCAGACAAGGACCCCGGAGCCGGGGAGGGGGTGGGCGACGGGGGCTTGTGCACCCACTAACATTTTTCAGGGGGTGCTGGGCAATATGCTGAGCCCCCGCGCGTTTGGCTCGAGGCTTACTGAAGAATGCCTCCACTTCCTCCACTTTGTGGTCCCGTTATTGCTCAGCTCCGCCAAGCCACGTACTTGGCTAAGGGCAAGCACGTGGCTCTGTTCTTGTTACGGTTGGTTACCCACCAAATCACGGCACAACCTTCGCCCACGAAAGTCCAAAAAAAATTACAAAGTGTCAATAAACCGCGGACGACACGGCAGCTCCTGAAAAACTAAGAGAAAAAAAAAAACGGCTTTTGTTGCCTGCATAGCACAGGCACTGAGATCTTGTCTCCTTCCCTGCTTGGTCGTTTTCCCTGGGTTCGCGGGTTGGCCATGCGGGGGAACGCGCAAAGCACCGTTTTTGTCCCCCCAGCCAGCCGGCTTCTTCGTTTTGTTTCTAATCTGAGCAGTGACGTTTCCCAAAGAATACCAGGATTTCTTCTAACTTTTCTTTTTCTTTCTTGCAGCTGCTCCTTTTTTTTTTTTTTCAGCAGTGTTGTTAAGAGTTAGTTTCCTCAGGAACGTGTCCGCCTGCAAACAAATGTCGACACAACAGTCTGGACAGCTACCGCCATCTATGAGCGACGGCGGCAACCAGATAACCGGCTTTCCGGTTTTCTGGTCGCCGCCGTCGCTCATAGATGGCGGCAACCTTTCCAGCTTTTAGACCCTGGCTTACCGACTTGCGGCCGGCCATTACTTCATTCCCACCATGGTACAGCTTCGCTGGTCTTTCTTTTTCATCAAAATAAAAAGGGTGAAGAAAAAAAAAAATTTTTTTTTCTGTTTTGGTGGTAGAGCAACGGGGAGAGCCGAAGCGCGAGGCGTGGAGATGGTCTGCGCGAGAAGAAAGCCCTTCTTGAACGAGGGACTGCCTACAGATGTATCCCAGAAGTATCCCAACTCCCAAGGCAAGAAAGAGGATGCCTTAGCAGGCGACACAGGTTGTCAAAGGAGAGATCGCACTGCGATTTGTGTTCAAGCGCCGCTTCACGGTGGTCGTCAAACACACACGAAGAATCGCGGCATTCTCGCTTGTATTTCTGTGTCTGGTTTTCGAAACACCATTTTGCTCTTGTTGAGCCAGCCTGCTATGTCCAGGCAGACACTCTAACATACACCCAGACTGTTTAACCCTCTTTTCAATGACGACCATAGAAGCAGGAAACGTGCTGAAATAAAAGAAGGCATTACCAGTGAAGGTTTATCACCGAAAGACGACCGCGTCCACCGGTGGTAAATTTTATTGAATCCTTCAAGAATGCATTGTTATAACTCTTCACAGGAACGCTGCGCCGAGAAATTTCACAGGAGTGCGTCTATGATTAAAATACACCTTCTTTGAAAATGTGAGCTTTCTACGTGCAGGCGCCCGATTTTCCAGTGCATTTTACATCGACACCGTCGATTGATGCCATCGTATAGCTACTACTATTTGATCAGTTTGTGTCAATATCCCATTGAGGAATTTCGGGTGAATGTATGGGCACACGATACAGGTAGTAATAATAAACATTCTATAAACACCAAAATCTTGGCAACAGTTTTTTTTTTTTTTTTTTATTTCCCCCCCCCCCCCCCCCCCCCCCTTCCCGGCCCCTTCCAATGAGAAAAATGCATTTCCGGCGTCGCTGTGCCCAAAAGATGGCGGACTCAGGAAAATGGCACCAAGGGGTCTATTGAACACGACTCCCATCCAAACGCTGACGCAGCATTCGTGCCCATTTGGTTGAGGTAGATGACGTCATGACGTAAATAATTATATGCGTAGGCCTTGCGTCCGGTAAGCCCTAAGCTCTGTAGGAAAAAAGCTAGACAACATGCCCCCTCACTCTCAGAAATATTCTTACACCCCTTGTTCTATATCAGATACCTCCAAATTTCAGTTCGACGTGCAGCGCGCTGACGTTGAGCCGACTATGTACTATTTGAAACGCGCGACAGGTAGTAACTGCAGCTGCTATGAGGGGAAGTGAGAACATGGCTGCTGGAAACCTATGAGGACATTGTTTTATAGGCTATCGCAAAAATTACTGTGTGTGTACCGTTACTTCTTAGTAAGAGATGCATTACTTGGAATGTTTAGCAACACTATTGGAGAACAATATTGGTGCGAAAGAAGCACCATATTTGTAACATCGTTAACGGACGAAGTGCCGGGTTACTAACCAACCTACTTTTTTCAAATGAGCAGTATAAAAGACGCATGGGTAGCTATTGGGGTAGCAATAGGGTTAGCGTCTCTCGCGTGTGTGTTGTGCGTAATAACTGTGTTCAAACTTTGGTATGTGTTAACTGTATAATGTGTGTGCAAATGTGCATATAGGCAGCGTAAAAAATGAATATGCCAGCGATAATTTTTTTTTGCAAATTTTAAGTTTGACCTTGACTAGCTCCACCTGGGTTTAGTTACTACCAGTTACTAGCTAAATGTAGTGAAATATACTAGGGGTTAATAACTGTGATTATAGCTTGTTGACCTAGTAACCGTTGCTAGCTTGACCATTACTACCTACGGTTGCTAGGTATCTAGTAACGTATGTTACAAGCAGCTACTAGCCTTCTCCTAGTATAACTACTACTAGGGTTATTAAGAGTGCACTATCAAAACAGCTTGTGTCGCGCTACGTGTAGTTAACAGTGAAGGTAATGCCACGGCAGGAAATGCCGATAGTAATATCGCCGGTGAAGTACCACGAGATTCCACCAGAAGGCTTGGCATGCTGACGACGATTCGCACTAAACCGTTCGTATTCCCTGGGTCACGGGTGTACATATAATTCGTTGATTGGTGTGGGATTAGTCAGACAAAGTAAAAATCATATTTAGTGACACTACGATTCCTGGAACGCGTCTTCGACTACTGTTTTTCATGATCCTATCCCGTCCATACATCAAAAGTGGTCGCGAAGTGACAACGCTTCACAAGAGCCGGCCTGTCATGCTGTTGGATATCGCGATCCCGGTGTCACTAACTCAAACCGACGCTTGTCTCCGCAGTGCAACGGTCCATACAGATGACTTTCCGGGCTCCGTGCTCAACAAGCTGGAAGGAATGGGCTACAAGGTGGTCGCCGTGTCTGGAAACCCGCTAGGCACCGTCTGGACCGTCCACAAGTCGTGACGAGGGGAACTTTCGACCGAAAAGAAAACTACAATCCACAAGGGCCGCTCAAGGTTCACCAGGCCTTTTGCCTGTAGGAAATCGCTGAACAAGTTTAGCACGATGAAACTTTCGGAGGGCCCTTAACGCCTATAGTCTCTATTAAACACCCCGCGCCCGAAATCACGTATTTGCCACATCGCAGTAGTTCCAGCTGATGGTGGCGAGCAATGCGTCTGCAGCTGTGGGGCAGCAGGGAATAACCAGATTTGGGTGAGCAAGAATATTAAACCGGCTGAACTTTTGAGGAGATTGCGAGCATGGCATGAGGAACAAACATTGTCACTGACAAGACTGTATCAGTGGTGTCAACAATTTAAGAAAGGACGACCCCGAATGACAAAAAAAAAATCGCATGGACTCGCTCGTCCGACTGCAGTCACTTCGGTTTCGTCGAATTTTTAATCTGTGAGCATTTATACGCTCGTTTTGACGAAAGCCCGGCGGTGTCAGCACAAAACACGCGACGGCCACGATGACGGATGTCGTAAATTCGTAGAACCCGGACATAACGGTTTCAAAAATTTGTATATTATATATCCTAACAATAGATGATGATTTGTCCTTGAGAGTGATGTTGCCTATAACACACCACCTAGCTTATATTCGCTTTTTTGTTCACCGATATCCAGTGACACTGTACTTAGAGCAAAACAGCTCTTGAGGTAGAATCAATTGGTGAGTACCGAAAGAGAGGTGAAAGTTCGTGAGGTAATAGACTGCATCACACAGCACGATGACTTCATCACGAATACATGAAGCATTCCAAGTGCGAGTTCTCCGGACCTTCCCATCATGAACCGTGATTTTCTTCGTTGCCTTTGTGACGCTTTAATAAAGATCGTTTTAACCCCGAACTGTCCCTTCGTCGACCGTCTCAGCTGCTTGACTGGTGGCACGTGCGCTTTGTCTTTTTGTTTCTTCCGCTACATCGCCTTCTTTCCCGCGCTACACCTTCTCCTCCCGTGGAAAAGTTCACGACCCGTGGACTAATGTGAGGATAATTAAAGTCTCGGAAGCGTGCTGGCAGAGATAGATCTGAACGGTTCCCCAGGTTCAGACTAAAGCCAGCGCTCTACTTCTCAATTGGCACGGTTGGCGCCTGCTGTGTTTCTGTAGGTTCTTCTTGGCTTCTGATTCTCATTGGCGACGATGCTCGGGGTCTGACGTCTTGATTATTTGGTACAGGTTCGGCATTTGGGTCACTTAGTATTTCGGATGACTGATGTTCCTGTGTTTCTTCAGTCGCGATTTCGTTGAACAGGTTGTCATTGCAGACCGCTTCAACACTGCTAGAAGGCTGCATCGTATCTTGACATGACCGAAGCAAGTAAGGCGGAGGGCCACTGCTTACCGTAGGGGCTGTTCATCCTGTTCAGAAGCAATGCGAGTGTCCCGTGTCTCTTCCTCGGATTCAAACAACCCAGGTGGACAGTCATATCTGTTATATGTGGTTACCGCTCCTGTTCGGGGATAAAGGGAACGTCCAAGGGACCTTCTGTAGCACTTTCGCCTGCAGGTAGGCTGCTGTGGTTGAGTTGTCTAGGGCACCGGGATGACTGGGGTCGCTGGTAAGGTTTTAGTCTGTTACGATGCACAACGAGAGCTTGCGTCTAGAGGCCTCAAGCTCAGTCCGAAACGTTGTTTCTGTATCTTTCTTGGCAACAATATAGGGTCCATGTAATACCACCTAAAAGGTCCATGGCATGGCAAGTTGAGTTTTGACGATTTGCCCCGTCTCACCGGTGCGCAGTGAACGAACACTTCGTCGCCAACTTTAAAATCTTGCTCGTGAAATTTCCGATTGTAATACTGTTTTTGACGGCGCTCTGCTTCGGTGTTATGCAGCGTAGCAGCTATATGTACGTACCATCTGCAAGCTCCTTTGAGTCTGCCGAATGCGCTGTCTTAGAGAGACACTAACAGGGTATTTATGCTCACCGAGGTTTTTAGTTGTACGTGACATATGAGAGCCCAACTACCCAGAAAAAAATTTGCGGCTCGAAATTCGGTTTCTTTCCGCCCAAAACCGCCGATCGAGAACTGGCCGGTTTGGGTCACGCTCACTCTTTTCCGTGGTCACGGGCCGTTTTCTAAGGTTTAGACACAACCACCAAATTTAGTCAAAGTCGTAGGTCATTGAAAGCAGACACTCGGTATTAAAAATAAAAAAAACTACGAAACCCCCCCCCCCCCTTTTTTTTTTTTTTTTTTTTTTTTTGGGGGGGGGGGGGGGCTTCTAAAACGCTGCAAATACGTTTACTGAAAAAAAGAAAAAAAAGTTTCACGGAGAACCGGAGGCATTCGGTGCGTTGTCGTATCGCGTATCGTAGGTCTCGCGGGCTGGACGGCGATGGCAGCGGACGACGGACGTGGGACCTCTACTTCAGAGCTGTCGTTCACGGTACCGTCGAATCTGTCTTCCTTCGAAAGAGAAAGTTTGGACCGATCAAAAGAATTGGTACTCATCCCGTACGACACGCCAGACCACCAAGCCGACTTGCGCGAAGACGTCGCCGAGCCGTCGCACTTCTCGTGGCTGAAGACATCGCTCGTGCAAACGTCAAGCACGAGCAAGTGCGTACTTCGAGTGAAATATGCACGCGTACGATTTCTTTACTAGGTGCGAATGGGGCCAATGCGTGGTGCTGCCTGACTTCGAGTCGGGAGTGCCTTTGCTGGAGAGAAATTGACAGCAAACTTTCCAACCTACAGTACACCGGCTGCGTCACCACAAAGAGTTCCACTGCAGTAAGCTCAGTGGAAAGACGTCCGCTTCACACGCAGCGGGCTCAGGTTCAATCTTTAATAAGAGCGTACTGCTTTTTTTTTTTTTTTTGTCAGACATTTTTACTATATTTACATATATTCTTTTTACAATTATCACTGAAAAAATCTGTTGTGGACGATACGTTGCTGAACAAAATGGTATGGGATTCTTTTTTTTTTTTTTTACACCTGTGAACACAATGTAATCACTTTCTACAAAATGCAAGGAGCATCTAAATCGGGTAGTGACCGCTTTCCGAGGTGCCCGTAACTGTTCTACAGGAATCGCAGCCATCCATTGGTTCCGATCCCGTTGATCTTTCGAAAACTTGTGCAGACTCTGCCGCACAATGCCACTTTGGCATTGTGCGGTAGCATCTTGGAGGTTTTCTTTGGCATTGTTCGGACATGTATTCTTTTCGGAGCCGATCACGGGAATTCACCACGGGGCACTCACTACTCATCTCCAACTCTTCAATGTACAAGACGAATCTTGAGGTACAGAACAGCGAATGAAACAAACATAACTGCAAAGGAATCGTACGGCAAACGGTTTCCGCAACGCATTTCGTCTGTTGCGCGCGAAAAAAAAAAATGCGCGGTTGGGTGTAGTAACGTATCTCTCCTCTCAATTTCTCGGACCTCCGTGCAGAGGTTGCGGTTTGGAGCAGTTGCGTTTTTTGGCTTTATTAAAAATATGCGTGACTCTGTAGCAAAATATTAATGGGATAGTCAACCGACACCATAATAAATCGCCTGGCAAAAACTGAAAAAAAAAATATTTTGGGGGTGTGTCACTGTTCCTTTAACGTGCTAATGACGTGTTCTATTACACACGTCAAAAGATTTGCTGGGAGCTTCACATCTCTGCCGAAGACGAGGTAGTGCGGGTTAAACCCTGTCAACTCGTGGACACTGGACCGGCACTCCATCGTGACCAGAGGAAGGCGAAGGTCTCAATACGTTTGTGATTCATCGACTTAGAGGCTCAGCATGGACATAAGCGCCCTGTCAAAGCGATACTCAACCGAAATTTGGATTACGCAGACTAAGGCCGGAGAAGCCTGGAATGGGACGCTACGAACTCCAAGGCACCACTCATATATCGAGATCTCAAACGGATGGCAGTAATTTTTGAAAAGAAGGGCGGGATCAAGCGAGGGCTATGACGTCATTGTCCCCCTGGAAAATTTGAGAATGAGGGGAAATGGCTTCGCTTCTCTCATCCTCGTTTCGGTTCACCAGCTCGACCGTACCGTAGCGAGAAGGAGAGATAATAGGGAGTTTCAGTAGACCGTGTTTCTCGCTCCGCTAGCCCTCCGTTACGAAGAAACCGCCACTGCGCCTGCGCGCCGATGGCCTTGGCTGTAGAGTTCCGGGTAGCGGAGGGGCTTAGCGGAGCGGGAAACACGGTTTTAGTAGACCGTGTTTCCCGCTCCGCTAAGCCCCACCGCTACCCGGAACTCTACAGCCAAGGCCATCGGCGCGCAGGCGCAGTGGCGGTTTCTTCGTAGCGGCGGGTTAGCGGAGGGGGAAACAGGGTCTACTAAAACTCCCTAATAGGGAGTTGTAGTAGATCGTTTTTTTCCTCCGCTACGTTATCCCCGAAGAAAACGCCGCAGCTGCGCATGCGCGCCGCCAGCCTTGTCTGCATAGTTCAAGGTCTTGTGGCGGATTACGGAGCGCTATCCGGGTGCTTAGCGGGCGGCGGAAACGGTCTACTACAATTCCCCACTGAGAATCGTGACGTGACTTGTCCCATCGGCCTCGTCGGCCGTGTGCAAAGCGCGCTTGTTTTCCTAAAATACGGCGATCCGTTAGAGATATCGCTGTATGAGCGATGTTTATTGGTTTTGCAGCGTCCCGCCTATCACACCCGTTTGATTGCCGATGATGAGCGGTAGTTCTCGTTTTCTTCATTCCTAACAAGTGGCAGACTTCTCGAAAAAGTTGGCTTTCAAACGTTCTTCCTTGGTCCGAGTGAAGACTTCTAGGGACTTCAAAATGAAAGAAAAAATTGCGGACAGGGCAGTCGGCCACTTCTTTGGTCTTTTGGGACTTCAGCGGAAAAGCCTCGACCCATCACGTGAAATAATCTGACACGACAAGTATGTACTTGTTTCCTTGTGCTGTACATCCGTGATGTTCACCCCGATCCTTTCAAATGTGAATGCTGTGGTCTGCGTGACGAGTGGAGCTTTCGGAGTGTAGAGGGGAGGCTTCCTGCAATTCGAACAACTGCAATTCGAACACCACAA